ACCACTGTTAGATTCGTCTTGATGAGCTCTACAACTTTACTTAAAGGCTCAAAGGCAATTAACTTAGTACAAAAAAACGTTTTCTTTGAAGAATCACTATTTTTCTTAAGGGTAGGCTTTCTGCACGTGATGTTACATATATATATATTATAGATGTCGATCTTTTTTAGATACAGATGATCTTATATTGTTCATTAAATTCAAAGTAACTAGTGCTTTATCAATACTTATTAGTTTTGTTGTTAAGTTAGTTTGTTTTATTTGTTTTGGTAAGTTTTTTTTACTTTAAAACTACTAGTTATTAAATTTATTTTAGTTTAACTCTAAGTAATACTTTGCCCATTCCATGCTAAAGTTGCCTATTCTTGACTTTAATGGGTTTCTTTTTACTAAATCTTCAGTTTAAAAATTTATATGATATTTGGCAATAGTGTTAGTTAACATTATAATATGGTAAGAGTAAAATTTAATTATTTAATATTAGTTTCTTAAAAATATCGAATTTTTTATAGTTTTTATATATAATCTATTTTTAGACTTTAATGTTCATTTAATATCTACATTTAAGCCAGATCGTGATTGGGCTATACGACTTGTAAAAATAAATTCTCAACGAAAAAAATATGAAAGACCAAAGAGAACTATATTTGTTAGCGAACAAAATCAATTTTTATCATTATTATCTGAACATGCTTCTATTCCCTTAGATCTTAATAATAAATAATTATTATATTGGTTATTAAGCATTAAAGATATATCAAAAGAAAAAAATAATAAAGTTTGGGTTCCTTTAATTCCTGGATATACAATATTTACATTTTTTGCTGGGGCATATTTTCGATTAAATCTTGGATGGTGTTATGCCAAACAAGAAATTTTATTTCAATGGACTGATTTTGGCAAAGATTCATTTTTTGCTAAACCTCAAACTTATGAATCACATTCTGATAAATTGTTAAGTTTTTATAAATATATTCAAAAACAATATAATTATACCGGCAAAATATCTGTTCCATATTTGTTAAGACTTACTTGTACTGAAAATGTTATGTGGCTATGCAGTTTTATAGCTAGTCATTATAATATATTTGAGAATACTAGACACTTTTTCTTGCAGATAAAAAATTAAATAATATAATAAAATCAGGAAAAAGAAAAGCCGATGAGATTGATAAAGAGTTAGCAGATAGTTCTAATTTAATGATTTTTAAAGCTGGATTACCAATAAGTTCTAGAGGATTAGATGTTGATAATTGTATTATTCAAGCATTTACACTTCAATTAGAAGAATCTAATATTGAATTAAAAAGTACAAGAAAAAAATTACGTGAATCTCTTGAAATAATAAATAAACTTCATAAACAGCTTGAAGAAATTTCAAATTCAACAAGGTATTTATAATAATTGTGGCGAATTAAAATAAAATCAGATTAAAATAAAATTTTGTATAGTGTAAATAGACAAGCTAACAAAAAATACAAAATTTTTGGGATACATTTTTTTAGCATTAAAGATCAGCTTTTCAGGTAGAATTTATATTAAACACAAGTATAAGTGCATTTTAGAAAACTTCAACTTTCATTTTAATCTGATTTTATTATGATTTGTGACAATAATTTATATAATTTATTAAAGCTATACTAATAGTTTATTAATACTAATTTATAGTGATAATGAAAGCACCAATGATTCAATAAATTCAGAATCTTTATCATGTATTTTTGAAGAACTTATCAGTAAAGGAAAACTTGGCTCATCAATTTTAGTTAGTACAAAAGTTTATCTGGAATTAATATTAAACAAACCATGTTCTGTATGCAGTAATAAAGATATTATAAATCACAAACATACAATTCAAGTATCTGGATTAAGTATATGTATTACTATTATATGTTCTAATTGTGGAACTCAAACTGAGCATCATAATGAAGTTAACGGCATTAATTTTTCAAGAGCAATTTCAGTTGCAGGATTAGTAGGGGGCATGAATCGAGAAGAAATTAGAAATATACTTTCGTTTATTGGAATAACACGTTAAAGTGGCATAAAGCAATATTTTCAATACCAAGATCTTTTTTTAAATGAGTTAGTTGAAGCTGCTAATAAAAATGCAGAACAAAATTTGCATGAAATATGTAAGCTAATTCGATCACAAAATAAACATATACTTGAAGCTTCTTTTGATTGTTCGTGGAGTCATGTTCGGGAGGCAATGCAAGCAAGTGGTGAATTTGTCTTTAATGATAAAATTATAGGTAAATTATTTATTTTTAAATTATTTATACTTCACAAAATCTAATCAAAGTTTAAGCTTCAAATCAAATATTTGATCAAGTCAAATTTGATCGTATATTTGATCAAACTTGACTTGATCAAAAAATTTGATCTGAAACTGAAGTTTTGATTTGATTTTATAGAGCATAATATGTTAAATAATATTATAGATTTAATATTATAAATATTTATTTATAGAAATATCACACAAACCCATTATAGCATTTCACGTTGTTGAAAAGCCAAGTCAATATGAAACCAAAAATGCAAAGATTATAACCATAAATGAAGGAAATTATAATAGTAGTTCCAAACAAATAGAGCATGCTATTCTAATCGCTATAATCGACAAAATTACACCTATTTTAGAAGAATATGATATTATTTTAGATATTGGAATTGATGGTGATTTAGACAGTAACAAAACATTAGCTAATCAAACTATTGTACATAAAATTTTTGGAGATCTAAAACATAAATCAAAGCTTATTAGAAATAAAATTGGTAAATATAAATTGTTGAGAATAATGCTAAAATCAGATAATGCTGAAATTTGGAGTCTTAATTTGAAACTATAAACCCTACTAAAATCTACTTATACTCTTTTATTATAAACATTAATCCTAAATTCTAATCAAACTATAAAAAAAAAAGGCTGAACAAAAATACCCAAAAAAAATTTAAATTTTCATAATAAAATAAGTCAAAGTTTTAGCACTATCCGATTTCAGTATCATCCCCAACATAAATTATAACTATTAATAATTATTTAATAATTATTTAAATTATTATCTTTATTTTAGCAAATCATGTTCGTTGAAAGCGATTTGAACAACCAATTATGAAATATTATTGCAAGTGTGTATATGCAGCAATTACACGTACTTCTAATTTAGATTTAGAAATCCAACTGATAATCAGCTATTTAACATGCAAACTAAAATTATAATTGAGTATTTACGTGATAAACATGATAATTGCTGGCCTGAAGTTTGTTGAATTGTAGAAAATCCAGATCTTGAACTTGGTGAACCAAATTTAACTACCTATAATGATTTACAATGTAAAGATTTAGAAGTTTTTACAAAAAATTATGAAATTACCAGATCAACAAAGTCTTATTACAACAATTAGAACAAGCGCAAATGAGGCAATTAATCGTTTAAAATTAAACTATACTGATAAAAAAACCGACTATCCAAAATCTTTTGCAGCCCGTCATGCATTAGCAGTATTACATAATAATGTTGGTTTATTAGAAATGTTAAATATTGTTAGAAGTGCTGGCGATTTATGTGAATTTTCAGATCAAGATATATATAATATTAGTAAAATACAGGAACAAAGAGAATATCGACGTATAGCAAATATAGCCAAGATTGAAACTCAAAATCAAACTCGTGCTCAAAAAATAATAAATCAAAAAGCATGTCTTAGTAGTTTTGATTTTGGGCAAGTAAGTAGTTTATATAACAAATAAATATGTATAGCTCTACAAAATCAAATTAAAGTTTAAACTTCAAGTCAAATATTTGATCAAGTCAAATTTGATCAAATATTTGATCAGATCAAATTTGATTAAAATTGATTTAAGGTGTCTTTAAGCAACTTTCTCAATGTGATTAGATAGTGATCGAAATGTTGCTCAAATTATTGTGACTAATTGGTAATTAATATGGTTAATCAAAGAATAATTTTTAAAAAAAATTCATTATACAAAAGGTGAGTTTTAAATTTTAGCTAATCAGAGTAACTCTATGCATTTATTTAGTTTCTGACTAATCAAAATTTTGTCTCTAATCTATTAATTTAAGTGCTTAAGAACACTCTTAGGGTGCTCTCAAGCGTCTCTCTCAGTATAATTAGCTAACTATAGAGATTGTACACAAGTATTACGATCAATTAAAGTAAACTTTACGGTAATTTTGTTGAAGGTTCATGCTGCGAACATGGATATTAAATTTTAGCTAATCAGCACAACTCTATGATAAAAAAAGATAGTCTCTAACCATCTTTTTTTTTCATCGCGATAATGAACTCGCTTAACCGAATAATTTATTTTCCACTAATTAAAAATTGAACTCAGACCTATTGATTTAGATGCTTGAGAGCACCCTTAGTCAAGTATTATATTTTTACTTAATTAACAGTTCATTGAGCAAGAATATATATTTGATCATATTTGATTGAAGCTTAAATTTAAATTTAATTTCGTAGAATACTAAATATATATATATATACTAATTTACATTTAATAATAGGATTTGGTACCGTATAGTCAAATTATGCAACAAAGTTTAAAAAATGCACAATTTCATTCTTCTTTTGTGACAAAAATACTCAACTTTGAAACAATTATAAAATGTAATGGTTGCCAATCATTTCCTATACGATATCCTAATGGTCTTTGTCTTGTATATGGATTTTATATAAAACATGGCTACTCTCAACAGATTCCAAATCAAGTTTATCAAAAAAACAATGATATACCTGATTTAAAAAATATAATGCTAAATGCAATTATTAGTGAAGTATTTGGATTTACTGAATTTAGACCAAAACAGTGAGATAGTATTAATTGTTTTATTGAAAAAAATGATACTTTATGTATTTTGCCAACAGGTGGAGGAAAAACTTTAGTTTATGCAGCCTCAGCTTTACTATTTACTGGATTAACCGTAGTTTTTACACCACTAAAAGCACTAATAGGAAATCAAATAGTAAATATATAGATATATTTATTTTACTTTTACTAAAACGCACCTATAGTATTTCACGTATTATCTTACAAACTGGCTAAATAATTAGTTCTAAGTAAAAATGCTTTATGCCTTCAAAAACTTTTCCAAACTCTAATTTTAACTCTAAATTCTAAAAAATTTGAGTTAAAATTTTATATACAAAACTTATAAAAATTAAGAAAAATCTTTAAAAACATATAATAGATATTAAGATACTATAGACGCATTTTAGTAAAAATGTAATTATTTATTAGTTTAATTGATGATTCTCCAGTCAACTGAAGAATGATCATAGTGAAACGTGACGCAGTTCTATATATAAATTACTATA